TGCATATATGCATATATAAAATATATATATATTGCATATATGTGTGTATATATAAATATACATATATATTTTGCATATACCTGTGTATATATATTAAAAAAATATATAGCATATATATGTAGATAGATAGATAGACAAACATACAGATAGATAGATAGATAGATAGATAGATAGATAGATAGATAGATAGATAGATAGAAAGAATACATGGCTGGAGGTCCACCAGCCAGCCGTGGTAGAGGGGGACGTTGAGGAGGTCGAAGACGATGCACTCGGGGGTGTACTCGAAGTCCGCGACGCCCGTGAACCTCACGTTGACGTCCAGCCCCGTCGACAGCTTGGGGAGCACCATCATGGTGTCGTTGATGTTCTGGGGGGGTTGAAGAGACAACGGGGGGCTTGCTCGGGAACTTGGGGCTCTGAGTCTTGTAGCCCAAGGCCACCAGTGCTCCCTGAGATGGGGGCGGTCGGTTTTGGGGGTGTCACCTCCTCACCTGCTGGAAGTTGAGCTGCAGCCCCTCCGACGGCTCCTGCGGTTGGGTGGACAAGATGCAATCCCCTGCAAGGAAATGTGGTCAACCCCCGGCCAGGCAGTGAACCACGCACACCCGGTTAACCATGGCACATCCTGTTAACCATCCCTGGTTAACCACACCATACCCAGTTAACCATCCTGTACCTGGTTAACCATGGCACACCATCCTGTACCCAGTTAACCACACCGTACCTGGTTAACCACACCCAGTTAACCATGCCATACCCAGTTAACCACACCATACCTGGTTAACCATGCTGTACCTGGTTAACCACACTCAGTTAACCACACCATACCCAGTTAACCATGGCACACCTGGTTAACCATACCCAGTTAACCATCCTGTACCCAGTTAACCACACCGTACCTGGTTAACCACACCCAGTTAACCATGCCATACCCAGTTAACCACACCATACCTGGTTAATCGTGCTGTACCTGGTTAACCACACCAGGTTAACCACGCCGCACCTGTTTAACCACACCATACCTGGTTAACCATGGCACACCTGGTTAACCACACCCAGTTAACCATGCCATACCCAGTTAACCACACCATACCTGCTTAATCATGCTGTACCTGGTTAACCACACCAGGTTAACCATGCCGCACCTGTTTAACCACACCATACCTGGTTAACCATGGCACACCTGGTTAACCACACCCAGTTAACCACACCATACCTGGTTAACCACACCATACACGGTTAACCACACCTAGTTAACCACACCATACCTGGTTAAATAGCCAGTTAACCATGCCATACCCAGTTAACCACACCACTCCACCACCCTGGTGATGGGGACCACAGCCAGCTCACCCAAATGCGCCATCAGCTCCTCGGCCGTCACCACCTCCTTCTGCGGGGGCAGCTTCACCTGGAAGCACCAAGAAGTCACCGAGAGGCCCCTTCCCCTCACTCCCCCAGGGGGGAGCCAGGCCTGGTTCCCCCCATCAGCCCCCCAAAATCCCACCCCCCGCACCCCGCTTGCCTTCCACTGCAGGAAGAGGACGTTCATGATGGCCAGCAGCGGGCAGGGCCCGTTCTCGCTCTGTGTGATGACGGGCGTCCGCTCGCCCTTCCAGCTGATCCACTTCACGCAATAAAAATCCTCCTCCGCGCCCCGACCGGGGGTCCCGGCTCGGGGAGAGGGTTCAGCCGGCACCGCCTGGGCACCCCCCAAAGGTGGACCCCCGAGGGACCCCCTACTCTTCACCAGCTGCTGCTTCCCAGCATCTTCCTGTGGGTGCTCATTGGGGGGGAGATGTGGGGCGCAGTTCTTCTCCCCGGCCGTTTGTCTGTCCGGTGTTGGGGTCTCCCGGTTGACAGCCGAAATTTTGTCCCCAGTAGTGGGAATTTCGTCCCCAGTAGTGGGAATATCATCCCCAATAGTGGGAATTTTGACTCCAACAGTGGGAATTTCATCCTCAATAGTGGGAATTTCATCCCCAACAGCACTGGGAATTTCATCCCCACCAATACTGGGAATTTCAACCCCAACAGTGGGAATTTCATCCTCAATAGTGGGAATTTCGACCCCAACAGTGGGAATTTCATCCTCAATACTGGGAATTTCATCCCCAACAGTGGGAATTTCGTCCTCAATAGTGGGAATTTCTACCCCAACAGTGGGAATTTCATCCCCAACAGCACTGGGAATTTCGTCCCCACCAATACTGGGAATTTCGTCCTCAATAGTGGGAATTTCAACCCCAACAGTGGGAATTTCATCCTCAATAGTGGGAATTTCGTCCCCAACAGCACTGGGAATTTCATCCCCACCGACCGCCTCCTCCAGGACCTGGGGGTTCCCTTGGCCATGGGAAGGGGCCGGGATCGCTTCTTGGTGCTCCAGTGGCTGCTCCATCGGACGGCGCGGGGCCGGATCAGGCGCCTGGGATCGGCTGCATCTCAAACCTCTCCTTTAGAATCTGGGTATTTCAAGAGAAAAAAAATAAATCTATTGATCCAATTTGTTGACCGGGTATGGCTCTTTTAGCTAAAGATTTTTTTCTCCTCCCATCCCTTGAAGTTCATTTAAACAATGAAAAATAAAACATTGTCTGCTCACCTTTCTGAATCGCCGTTAAATTAATTAATGCTGGATTTTATCTGCATGGAAAGAGGGGAAGATCCCCCAGCGACCTGGGAAGAGCGAAGCAGCGGGGTCAGAGCCGTGGGGGTGTCTACAAACTCAGCCCCGGTGAGGACGGCCCTGCAGAGAGATAGGGAAATAGGGGAGAGAATTGGGAGATTTGGCTTGGAAAGATTCAAATCAATGGAAAAATTTGGGTTTGAAATAAGAAATTTGGAAAACTTGGCTTGGAAATTTTCAAGGGAATTGGAAAATTCGGCTTCCGAGCACTCGAGAGATTTGGAAAATTTGGGTTTCAAAACATTCAACCGGATCGGAAAATTCGGCTTGGAAAAATTCAAGAAATTTGGAAAGTTCAGCTTTGAAATATTGGAAATATTTGGAAAAATGTGGCTTTTAACCCCTCCAGAGCGCGGCTGCTTCGGCTTAGACTCCTT